GGGACACAGCCTATGCAAGCATCTATTATACCTCTTAGTTTTTCCATTGACTCATAATAAGGTCTGATTTGAGATGGGTAATAGCTAAGCCTGTTTAAACTCAGTTTCCCATTTCAGACTGCTTTGTGAATGACATTAATCTATCCCAACAGGGTCAACAAAAGCCTGTGGAATTGTTACGCACCTGTGTGAACAAATAATCTTTTCTTTTGGAATTTCTATTTTAGGAGGAAATTATTATGACAAGACTCATGTAATTGTAAATCAGTCCATGGAGGGAGAAGAAACACAGAAATGGGACATTGAAATATTGTAAGAATCCACAGCGTCCCTAGAAAGAGCAAAGGAAGAAGGAAGCTCACGCCCCGCGGAAGTGAAGTCCCCATCCTCACGCTCCTGATCACTGGACAGAACCAAGCTCCAAGACCACTGCTCTTACCCACAGAAAAGCTCAAAGCACTTGCCAATTAGTCAGTGTCCCGTGAAGCATACGTTATGATTGCTGGGAAAGGTTCATTCCTGCGTGATCTCCAGTTTTGGTGACCATGTTTCCTGCAGTCTATGTTTTTTCTCTCCTATCCACCACACACGAATCCTATTCCTAACAGCCATGATAGGACACTGGAGGCGCTGTCATCGTGTATTAGTTTTTAACATCCTGGTAGATGCGTCTGTGAGTGCAAGGCACAGGGAAATAAACCCCTATAGATCAAGTTATACTTTTGCAAAAAGATGAGTAATTTTTTAGCAATATCTGAAAACATATATGCTGTTAGCTGCTGCATTCGTTAAACTTAAAGGTTCTCTATTGAGGCTTTTCTAAGTATTCACACTTGTAACTGACCCCAGGGAGGGACCTCAGCTTTGTTAGGAAAAAGGCTCAAGTACTAGAGTATTTTCTGTGGCCCTTCTTTGCTCAGTCCTTCAAACTAAAAAAGCACAAACAACTGTGGCCATTCTTGCACTCTAAGTATTAACAAAGGCACCCTCACGGGTGACAGAACGCTAACCAATGGCTACCTCTCCTGGTGCTGAGACCTCCCTCTAGACCTGCCTGATCTGTCCTCAAGAAGTGTTTATAAAGACTGTTTCGCCTGTGTATAAGAGTACTCAAATTTTTCTTTGCCTGAAGTAAAGGGAAATTTCAAATGTTCAGATTAAAACCAAGTAGCAATTGAGCCTTGACCATACCATTTTATTTTTCAAGTAAAGGTGGAGTTGATTTATCTACGCAATGACAGAAAACTCTGTTTTTCACTCCCATTTTAAATAGCTTTGATTTAAGCAAAATCAGGTAGGATATCATCTTTGACTTAATTTCAAGTAATCATTACCAGCTTTAACTATGCAACTCATAAGCATTTTTCTCTCCTGAGTTGGTTTTAAACTCAGATTGAAACAACTGTTGTTCCCTTCATCCCAACATGTCTACTCTATTTTTATATAGAAAGATGAAATACACCACTGATATTTTTTAAAATATCTATATGCACTTTAGAATTTAAAATAACAGTGACTTGTTTAAACTCAAAGACCCACTATTTTGAGTATTTTTAATAGAGACTTGGTCTTTCCATGTAAGTATTATTAGTTTTTTTCCCTTCAATCTCAGGCTTTTTTGTCATCTTTCAAGCAGCACCTGTAAACTCCCTTATGCCCATAGATGTGAGTGCCTCTCACTGGTGTGGCAGTATTATTTAATGAAACTTATAGGGGTAACTTTATTTTAATGGGGGTGGGGGGTTTGTCTATACGCAAAGGTATGTATATTTTCATTGTAAAAATCCAAGTTAAAATTATTTTTCTTTGTGTTAATTGTTTAAAATTTTTCTAGAGCCAATGAGGCTCTTTAAAAAAGTTATTTCTTCCAAAGAACAAAGACAAAGCCAGGTAACAACAACCTTTAAATTTAAATGATACATTTATTGGAATTGTGCCTTTTCTACCAGACTGGATTAAATAAACTTGTCTTAAAGTATGGTTTTGTCACTTTCTGGGACACTTAGTAACTTGCCATTCTTTCCTCCATGTGCCTCTGTTAATACACATGGCCAACTGACCACCTGTAACAGGTAGGTCATGTTATCAGATACACAGGTAAGGAAAGTTGTATACAACCGTCCCTCCTACCCAATGTGTTGACTCAAAGCAACAGGACTCCCCAGCACATCAACCTAGCTTTTCTTTTCACATGTGCACATAAACAGCAGACACCTGACTCTGTGAAGGCGCTAGACTACCTGGATTAAACACTCTGTCCAGAGGGACAATGCCAGGCTCTCCTTTTCCTCATCTGTAGTAAGCTTCAGGTCCTTGACAGAAATAGCTGTACTGTTCCAAATTTGCTTCAGTGCATCCATATGTGATAAAGGAAAGCGAAGTCCGTGAGACTGAAAAAGGATAAACTATTGAGTCAAACATAAGCAGCATTTTGTCACTTACGTGGCATTTTCATATAAACTTGCACGATTCTCAATAAATCACTATTTTTGAGATCCTTTACAAGTCTGAAATTTGTCTCAGGGAAGCTATTAGATAACTTCCAGCATTTGCCACTTCCCATATGAAAACTCAGACTTCACGGGAGGCATTCTGGTTTGTATAGTAAGAAATATTAGTCATTTGAAATGCTTCCATGTGTTACATTACACCTTTCCTACAGGTCCCAGCTCCTATCTTTTAAAGCTGGTACATGTATCTGTATCACAGAACTGTCCGATTTAATCCTCCCTATGCAAGGGCTCTTTGATTTGTGAAAGGTATGTCCACACTGCAGTTATAACAAAGCACATTACCCATAAATCAAAGGTAACTGATTGTTCCCAGCCACCACCAAATCACAGGAAAGACATTTAAGTTGGAACAAACCTCTGTTTCCTCATTGCCCATCATGTGCGTCTCTCTCCTATTCTTTAAGGAATGATAGATGTAAATCATCTTTTCTCGAGTTTCATCCTTTAAAAAAAAAAAGCATTAAGTCATAAACAAAATATTGAGTGCTTCAATACTAGGAGAGATTCCAATAACAGGTCAACACTAAGAAAACTCTTAACACCTCAATGCTTACGTGAAATTTATTAAACTGTAAAGAATCCTTTTGGCAAAAAGTCATGATATATATGTATGTGTATATATACACACATCCCCGAGATATAATGTATATACATGTCACTGTAGTCCTCACAGATTACTATTTGTGTGAAGTAAATAGGTACGTAAGACTTTTTTTAAATTAAATAGAGTGTACCTGGTAGAGCATCTTCAGAAACTTGATTTAATGAAAAAAGAACCATTTATATATCAACATATCAATGAAACACTCAAGTTTCTTCATTTCATCATGCCTGCACTTTTTTGCATCAAAAAAATGTGACAATCCTAGGTATACATAAATTGACAATTTATGAATACCATGGAGTAAAATATTAACTTGTGGGAAAGACCTGCTCTGTGATTTATTAAAACTTCCATTCCAATTACAGCAGCCTCCCAGTCTCTACTTCGCTTTGCTCTCCATCCTACACAGTGCAGTTACCATCTCTACCAGAATCTTCAGTCATTCCTTGTCAGTGCTTAGATAAGGGTCAAACACCCTGGTCTGACATAGAATGTCTCCAATGGATCGCTTATCAGAATAAGCAGGATTTGTTTTTAATGGGGATGTGGGAGTACATACTTTGAGGTTTTATCGATTATTATGAACCAGTCCTCTCCAGGTCTGACCCTGATGGCTGGAATAATCTGGATATGGAGACATCTAGGTCTCCCAATCTCATCACCCTCCCCCCCAAGATCATTCATGGGGCACCACTCGAGAAAGATGATTAGGAGGAACAGGGTGAAGCGATAAGGCATGGGATGGTTCCCAAGGTCCTTAGGATTATATAAGGAACTTTCAATAATAAATGCAGAGGCTCCAACCCAGACCACAAGAAGCCCAGGAACTTATAACTCCTAAAAATTTTCCAGGTGATGCTAGGATCCGTTAGCCAGTTTGACCAGTTTTAGGAACAGCTGCACTAGGTGGCAAGGTTATGGAATATAGATTTTCCTCTTCATGATCTACAGGATAGAGATTTTTTTAAGAAATATCGACAAACCCATATGTAATGATAGATGTGCACAGTGAAGAGAATGGGAGAGGGACTGAGAGGGAGGCACATGAGCAGTGTCTGCAGTGGTCCCAGCAAAAGCAATGTGGCCTGAATGAGGAGGGAAGCAGACAGATGTCAATCACTAATGAGGGGAACAGAGGAGGGTTCTGTGGGGATGAGAGCAAGACCTCAAATGCCCAACAAGAAGAGTGAGATTTGGGCATCATCTGACCTAAGGTGATGGCATTATGCCATGAGAACAGATGAATTCCCAGAGGAGAAGCGGGGGCCATCTGTCAGTGGGATGACCTGGGCCTGCGATGGAAATGCCCAGAGGAAAGAGGAAGCCTCTTCCCCTCTGGATACTCACCGAGCGATCCTGATCTGGCCCCAGAGTGAGGACGATGTGGTCTTTAAACTGCAGTCTCACTGTGCTGTCCAACCTCGGTAGCTGTCCACCTGGAAAACCCAGAGCACCAGCCTTCAGAGGAGGAAGCCAGCAGGCTCAATCTGCTTGCAGGAGGAGCTATTCAAGAAACACGTTTACTAACGGTTTGCAGGTGAACCCAAGCCTGGGGCAGGCTCTGCAAGTACTCGCTTACCCCCCCAGTCAGAGAGAGATTATAGTTTACCTGCTCCTGGAGCTCATTCTTACAGTGAAGACAGACTCACAATGAGATGAACAACAGAAGTTGAGAGGTCCATTCAACGGACAGAAACAATCCCATTGAAGTGCAGTAGCTGTCACAGCACAGACAGAACTCCCACTTCTCAGGTCTCTACCTCTCTCGCCTCTTGCTCTACACGTGGCCTCCAGAAGGGCCACCTGAGTCCAAAGTGCACCATCCCACCAATTACTAGTTGCATGACCGTGGCAAATTATTCAGTCTATGTAGGTCAAGCATAGTGTCATGTAAAAGCCACCTAATAAAGTTCACAGAAAAAAAAAACTTTCCAAAACTGGATTCCTCTTAGTGAAAAAGCAGCCAATAAAACCAAACTAGCCTTACAGGGTCACCTGGTTGAGGCAAAAGTCTTGAGGGATCATAGCTTTGTTGACTACAATGGTTATGACGAGGAAAACTTTAGATAAAATATTCTGGGCCACAAGCTGATACTCAGAAAACTCTGTTCTGCTAAAGACTAGAATATGTGCTGGTAAAACATTTGCTATTTTGAATAGATGCAATCAAAAACAAATTCTAAATTTCCTCCAAAGATTATAACAAAAATGTAAATAGAATCAATGTTAGAAGGGAACTTACAGATTGTCTGTTTCAGTGGTTCTCAATAAGGCTTTTATGAAAGTTAGTAAAAATCATACTCTCATTCTACTCTACTGAGAAAGAGAATTTCTGCCCAAGCGCTGGCCTGACACTCAGAGCTACATCTCACTCTGTTCTCCTGTTGAACAGACAGTTTCACAGAACACCAGCATCCAACAGAGCCACTATGACTGTGGGAGATGAAGACAAAACCAAGATCACTCCATAATCATGTCAGCACTCGGGCAGAAGTACGAACACCGTCCAAACCACAAAAGTGACCAAATAGCCCCCATCCTGGCTAATCGCAGTGACTGCTGCTGCTTCTCCAGTTCTAATTCCAGCCTCATTTCCTTCCTCCTCCTACTATGAAACTGACAGGGACTCGATCATAGAACCGCTATAATTCACATGTCTTGTCCAACCATAACACACTAAAGATAGATCTAGGTCCACGTTCCTTCTAAAATGCTTCATACTTTCCATCTGCTCAAAGAGGAGCCCACCCAGGCAGGCCTCAACATATCCCATGCTAGCCCCTAACCAGCCAGAAGAAAACAGCAAGCTCCACCTGGCGTTGACAGCTCTGCTCCGTCTCCCACACAGTAAGGTGGGAGTCTGTTCATAATGAAATCCTTCTTCATGTCTGCTGAAAGCAGCTCTTTGGTGCCCTCCAGCTTGTCTGCAAGCATCCTCAGAAAGCCACTTACTCTTCTTCTTGCAACAGCTGTGGTTTCCACCTGCTAGAAACACAGAAGTGAGGCCCAGCCCAGACTCCAGCTTCCAGGCTCCAGAGCAGTATGCTGAGCACAACTACCCAGTATAGACACACGGGGACACAAACACACACAACCGGGGCCCATAAGAACAATATCCCATTATTTCCTTGTAACCACTGTTCACCTTAAGCTGCCTATTGTTTGCCAGAAAGATCAACTATCAGGACTTTGCCTAGAAAGAGGGATCCTTGGGAATATAATGCAGTCTCAGCTCTGCCTTTTGGGAAGCAAGCCACTGTCCTAGGGAGGGCTGGTCAGACAGTGAAAATAACCTGTGCTCAACTCAGCACTAATTCACTCATGTTCTCAAAACTAGCCAAACAGTGCTGCTGTTTCAAACATAAAACCAGGACAGACAAGAAAGCCAGGGAATACACCAAGGCCAGGATCTCCAGTGGTCTCTCCTAACTAGGAATCTCGTGGGTGCTGAATCTACCATTCTCCAAGCCACATTCTTCAGTCATTCTGCCATTTATTCAGCCAACATTCCCACAGTGCCTGCTACTGCCACTGTGAAATACAGAAAGCGGACTGTCTGCACAACACCCTCATTCTTTGGGTTGTGCATAACGTGCAGCACTCCATTCTGGAGGAGTCAAGCCTGGCTCCTGTGGGAAGAAGGACCTGGGATCCATGCTGGCCTGGCCTGTGGCCAGTGCTCCTCTCCCACCCGCCTCCTCTCCTCACCAGGAGCAGCTGCCGGGGTAGACCAGCCCGTAACTCCAGATCTTCCTTCGCAGTATCAAACACAAGCCCTGAAATGGTGTCCAAAAGGAAATCTCCCCACGAGCTGAAACACACACCAAGAAAAACACACAGTGAACACATATGACATATACATAAAATACTGATTACTAGTAAAGCCAGAAGCCACAAATTGCGTTCCAACTCCCCCATCTAGGCATTCTGAGTTCAATTAATTTGACAGTACTCAGCATAAAAACTTAAGACCTCCGTCAATCACACTGCTGCCCTCCCTCCCCACTCCCAGACGCTCACGTGGAATGTTAAAGGTGGAAGCCAGGCATTATCCACGACTTCTCTTAAATTTAAAGACATCAGAGAATTAACCATATACTCTGACAAAGTAGGAAGTTCAAGGAACCAATTGTTTCTTTTGTTTCCAACTGTAGCAGAGACAAGTGTCTATGAAGAAAGCTTTGTAGGAAATTTTAACAATCTAAAAAAAATTTTATGTGCAAAAAAACCAAAAGCAATACATTTAGGGTAACAGCAAGATCCCTGAACTGTGTAATTATCTGAACAGTTAAACCTCACATTTTCCTTTGTATTTTCCTTATAAAAGAGAGCAGTGTTCTGCAGTGAAACATCCAACATCAACAATTTTAAAACAATTGATTTTGTAACTCGTTAAACTCGAGCAATGGTTTTACTGGAGTAGAAGGTAGAAGCCAGTGGCCAAAAATAACCTCCAGGAATGAGCATCAGTGTTCAGTGACCTTTGCTTTCTCTGGGGCATTTAGAACCAGCTCGCTCCTAAAGGTGTGCCAATATAACTGCCCT